AAACTAGTTTTTCTCGCTTAGCACATTTTACCGCACATTATTATGAGTTTATTTAAGCTGGTGGGTGTATAAAATTCAGACATACATACGGTACTTAGCTAACTAATTTTCTACACATATCTTTCAGGTTTAAAAAAATATAACCTTTCACTAAAATTACCTTGACGACTAATAAACTTATAGAAAATTTTAGTTATTGAAGTCTTATAAAACATAAGTAACAATTAATTGTTGACAATTTGACGTTTTTGTGGTACCGAAATCTAGGAAACATACAATACTTCACAGTCGATTTAGATTTTTTACACCAAGGCTAGATCACAAAAAGAATTAAACTTTCTGAAAAGATTATAATAACAAGTGATGGAGTAATGAAACGTTTCACAGCATTAGAAACAGAAATGACACGCGAAATTTAGGCATTGAGGGGTTCTGATGGAATCAGTGTAGAGGTAAGTACGTTTTGAAGATGAAAAGTTCACTTACTTATTAGCAGGTTTAGAAGATTTAGGAAGGATTTTAGAAGGTTTAGGAAGACCTTAGAGTTTCCTACCTTGTTTTTATTCTTTACCTATTCTTTGCTATCAGTTTGAAGCATTTCAAGGAATGTCAGGTTAAATTAAAGCCGCACTAACCTAAGTTAAACACAAGTTAATACACTCGAGTGCAAGTTAGATAAGGTTAGGTTTGTTAGGGATATTGTTTTATTTTTATAATTTCCCCATCTAATTCCTCAACATATTGTTGTATTTCAATGATTTTAAAGAAAATTGGTATGTTTACTCACTGCTCGTTTAATGATTTATTTGAGATTCATAGTTAAGTTGTTCAATGTACAATGATGAATGGTGTCAAATCTTAATTAAGTTGTTATCTTAATAATCACTTTGATTTTTTAACCGCTCGTTGTACCAAAGGTACAACTTGCAGTTGTCAGAGATTGTAAGGGAATGGTTAATGCCAATTGACTGGAAAAAATAACAATTCATATGTGTACAGTAAACACATAACATTACAGTATGAGAACCTTGATTAAATCATGTAAATAACGTTAGTAACGCCAATAAAACATCTATTCTAGTATTGGAGTGGATTGAGACAAACTATTTAATAAATTCAAGTAGAGAATTGGATGTGAATTTCGGGGTCTATGGAGAAAAAAACTTTTTATACAACATCGCACTCGTATTTTAAATATTACTGTACTGTGAACGTGTACCAATCAAAATAACTCCAGAAATTACCACCAGACAGCTCTGTATCTCTATAAAGTGTTTTCAATTTACAATAAATTTTGTATGTGAATTTGTTGGAATAATTTTACCGATGACTATTAAATGAGTTAAGTTATTTATTTATTTATTCCAACGGGAAACCCATTACGTTGTTACATTACAAAGAAATAACAATAAAAATCAAGGCAAGATGTGATACAACTACTACAAATAATCAACAACAGCAGCAACGTATTGATACAATAAGTGTAAATTCAACAGCTAAAAATGTGTAGGCCTACTATGAACATGTAACAATATAACATCACCATATACCATTTATCAAACCATTAACAACAAATAAATATTTTCAGAATGACAACAACAATATATATATATATATGTCCAGAAAAAAAAAAAAATATATATATTTTTTTCTTTGATCATGAAAAAAATCATGAAATGTTAAAAACGTTTCCTCAACTCTCATAACCATTAATTAATTTTAAAACCCAATTTTATTGAGACTGTAATTTTAAAATTTCTTCAACTGTTACATAAAATATTTGAAAACGTCAACATTTGCTTAAAAATGATAGTTTGATCTATGAGAAGTTCAGTGACCATGTTTATAGATTGTTTACACAATTGAATTTATTAGTTTTATATTTAATACGTACATGCCAGGTTTTATGACACCATACTTAATAATTTAAGATTTTTTTATGTTTTGGGATTATCGTTGGTGAGACGAAACAGAGCTGGAAAGTCCAAAACTGAGGAAGGAACAAAGAAGATGTAGAACGAGAAAGACACAGAATTGAATGTAAGACGAGAATGAATAATGAAATTACGCTGCTCTACGGTTAATGGAATACAACAGATGGAAACATAGATGCAGAATGTTACAGACATTAAAATTAAACTAACACTCTTATGTGTTTATACTTTTAGCAATAATTAAAGCGATAAACAAATATCATATTAGAAGTTTTAATAAAAATAACTCTATTGTGGCCAACGAAAAGAAGAAAATTATGATAAAATGTTTTCTGTACAAATTCAATGATGCAAAACGCAAACTTACATTTTTGATCCCAATGTGGGGAATCTGTTTTGACCATATTATCATTAGCTTCTTGTCCCCCTAGGTAATAAATAATAACATCGAGGGAATTTAACATATTTTAAATAATTAATTAATTTATTAAAACATTGACAACGCAAATTATATTTATAGCTATCGCTTAAGTTTACGCAAGGAAATACAAATACTGGACAGTCTAAAAAGCTTCATTAAAGTACTCTCCTGCTGTAGGCTCTAGCGTTTCATCAAGGATCTACTTTTTGGTTTATTTGAAACTCACAATCCTCTTGTGTTTTCTTTTGATATCGTGGCATTTTTCAAAAACCAAGACAGCTTTTTTTCTTGCATCCAAAGATCAAAATCCTTTTGCCCGCCTCCCAGAATTCATCATGAATTTTCCTTGTCTTAAACTTTAAGGGTCCTATGTAGGCCTACTCTTAACTGAACTGTTGTACTACATACTGAAGTTCATATTCTTAACTATTTAATATTCACCCTTCAATGTATTGAATCCAAGCACGGGCTCTCTACCTGGCATTTTTCAGGTTTGATGAAATAGCCTGGTTGTCACTTTGTTATTTGTTCTGGTTTTATTAGGATGATTTATTTTAATGAGTTTCAATATGAAAGCTTAATAATTAATATTAAGCTCATACTTGAATACCAGACGATGGTATGAATCAGACGTAAATGCTCGATATACTTGTTGGAGATGTTGGTATTTTCTCTGCGCTTGTCAACTACGAATCGACGCGCTCGTCTTTGTTCTGATCGTCATCGTTCATTTCGTTCAATTTGTGCCTCTTGCTACACTCTTACTACAATTCACAGACGTTCACCACCTTCAAACGCACATCTAACTCATATTGTCCTGGTATATTTGCTCATATCTGTTGTTTGTACGTAGAGCTAGTCGTTCTATAGCCCAACTCAGACCTTCTTCGTCTAGATGACATTGTTATAATATAACTGTAATGTATAATTGTATCTATTCTCAGTTATATTGATATTCCCCTTAATATCTCGGGTAAAAATACATTTATTTAATGTAACAATAGTGCCAATCTCTCTGGCGTAAGTTTTAAAAAATGTTACATTCCTAATCACAAAGTGACGTAACTGCAATGTCATATATATAAAAAAAAATTCCCCATAAATAGTATACATTTTCGTCATAAATTGACAGCAAAGTGTTACCAGACATCTTTAACTATATATTAAAAAATAAAGGTAGAAATTAGCTTTTAAAAAAATCAAGGTATACAGAGGTTATAAAAACGCTTATTTTTGTTTTGACCACCCTGTAAAGTAAGGCCCCGTCCTAGCTGGACGGCAAGAGCGGCGCGACCGACGCGACCGACAACAGCGACAGATACAAACACATGTTAAGTAATGGGAGTGTCCTAGCTGAGCAGCAACAGCGGCGCCGCTCTTGTCGGTCGCGCTACAAGCGCTTCAAGATACAAACATGTTTGTATTTGGTAGCGCTACACCGGCGACAGAGCCATCCAACACACCGCACCTTCACTCGACTCCCAGTCTTCGTCAGTTGAACATTGTCTAGAGTTGTTTTGTGAGATAAAATTTCGTGATGTCCAATGAATTACTAATATCAGAGGTGCAAAAGCACCCTAGTTTATGGAATCTGCATAACGTTAACTACCACAACAGACTTATGAATGATCGGCTGTGGGCTTCAGTTGGAGAGGTGGTAAATTTACCAAGTAAGTTCTGTTATATTTATTACAAATTAGTTAGAGACTGTATAATCTGTAATTATTTACTATAGGTGTCTCAAAAAGAATTTTTGATCTGTATATCTTACTTGTACCTAGTTTTTTACCTCCTGAATTTAAATATACCATTATTAAAAGTGTTTGAAGTGTTTTTCTAGGGTTTTCATTGTACAAAAACAGTCTTAAGATAACATAAAAAATCTCGACTTATTTTAACCTAAAATTTACCTTCCTAATCTAACCTAACTGCAATGCTATACTAAATGCAATACAGTAACAAATTTGCTAAAATAATAAGTTTAAGTTACATGCAATTATTCTCACTTCGTTCCATTTTTCAATGTTATCTGGCCTACCTTGTTTATGCTAATGTTGTTGTATGGCTTCGCCTATATCTTGAGTAATATTCATCAGCGCTAAAAAATATTGCTATATTTGGATTCAGGAGGTAAAAAATTGTAAGGCAAGATATCAAAATTGTGAGTTCGTTTGGAGGCATATATAGTAAATAAATACCAATAATTCAATATTTATCAGTTTTTTTCCAAATCAAGCTCATAAGATGTCGTTGTAATCTGCATAACATTTACTAGATTTTTACTGGACGATCAATAGTAAATATAAAAAGTTTCAACTTTTTTGGATCATTTTAAGCTATAAATATTAAGACTGTTCTTAAAACTCAATGAAAACAATAATTGTTTTACTCTAGTTTTACTGTAGAATAGTATTAATTTCTACTAATTAACTAATTTACTATTTAATTTACTATAATACGTTTTTGGGATATGTAAAAGCGATGGAATAACGAAGAGCAAATACAAAATTACACACTTAATTTATTTCATAGATACTTCAAACTTCAGGCACATGTAATCGTAAAAGAAGACAAATATTCACATGATATCGTACAAATATTAACGTTCCATGTTCAATGTTTATGTTAACAAGCTTTTCTATTACCTACAGAAGCATCTGGTGTGGCATTACACCTTCCCGGCGCACAAAGTAGGAGGAAAACCTTTTCCTAATAATCTTAGCTTGGTTAGTGGTGCTGTTGTTTTCCACGCGAGGAGCACCCTTGGAACCTTTCTCCGCCACCTCCCTAAAGGACTGAGCTTCTTCTTCACTAATCCCATCTCTTTCTCGAATGACGTTATGGAAGAGCATGATTGCCTTGATAATAACGACTGCGTTTTCCACCTTCGTCTCAATGGGAAGTGACAGCACGTTAAACTTGGTTTTTATACTCCCATACGAACATTCTACCACCATTCTTGCCCTTGCTAGTCTGTAATTGAAGACATCTTTTTCCCCTCCTGGTAACAGTTGTCTCCTCGGATATGGTCTCATCAGATATGTTCGCAATGGGAAGCCTTCATCACCAATTAGAACATGAGGTGCCACGATGTTGGTGTTTGGTAGATTGCATTCTTCAGGTAGATCAATGCATTTTGATTCTAGGAACGCCCCAATTTTTGAAGCACCGAACATCCCTCCGTCACTGTCCTTACCGTAGCCACCCACATCAACAAATAGAAACTTATAATTCGCGTCTGTAACAGTAAGGACATTTATTGAATAAGATCCTTTGTAGTTTCGGTACATAATACCCGATTTAGGAGGACGTTTGATACGAAAATGTTTTCCATCTATAGCCCCTATGCAATTGGGGAAGTTCCACTTTTCTTGGAAATCTGAAGCTATCTTCTTCAAACATTTCTTCGTAGGTACAGGCATGTACCTTTGCTGGAGGCATTTCCACAACGACTTGCAAACTTCAATAACAATGTTGCTTACTGCAGATTTTGATATCCGAAATGAGTACGCCAACTGTCGAAACTGCATTCCAGTAACCAGATATCTGAAAAAAAATATTTTAGGAATACTATAATTGTATTTTTTATTTCAGAGGAAACTGCAAAAGCAAGGTGGAAGAGCCTCAGAGACTCTTTCAATCGAGAGTACAAGAAAATACCTAAGCCCCGCTCTGGCTCTTCAGCAGAAGACGCGCCCATTTACACAGGGAAATGGGCTCACTTCAATCTGATGCTCTTTTTGAAAGACGTGGTCACACCAAGGGAGACCGAGTCCAACATTACCGAGAGCCAGTCAAAGAATGAGTCTGCCTTGGACGAGGGATCCGAGACCCAGATGCCCGACGATGAATTACTGTCAGTGTCTGTACTTGCAGAGTGTGTATCACCGAACACAGAACAAGTTCGTCAGAAGAAAAAGAAAAAAACAGACACTACGTGCGTGGACCCCGAAACTGTAAGGCCTACTAAGAAAACCAAGGGCAAAGAAAGTGCTCCGTTGTCACAGTTCGAACGAGAACTCTTGAAAAACGAAAAAGAAAAGCTCGAACTTTTTAAGGATCCACCTGAAGACGACGACATGCATTTTTTTCGGTCGTTAGTGCCATATTTCAAGCAGATGGCCCCTCTGCAAAAGCTCAAAGTGCGGTCTCAAATACAACAAGTTATCATGGACGAGTTGAGTGCTTGGCCTACCAATCACAGAGAATCTGTCACTACACCCTCGACACCTGGAAGTGCATATGACTATTACTACCCAAACCTTGGACAGGAGTAGCAGTAGATAAGCATTGGACACCGTTAAGACAGTCATATTCATGTTTTTTTACTAACGCCATGCTTTGACAAATTTAATTACTTTTATTTCCTATTAATTAAGTAATAAACATTTTGTGTACAAAAAATGTTAACTCATTACTTACACCTATTTTCTTATTGAAAAAAAATGGTAAAAATATTTATGCATCAGGCTGTTGTATTCTTTTAATTCAATTCATTTCTATTTAATTGTTAAATTCTGACTTACCTTAAGGTGACAATAAGTCGCTCTTCAACTGAAATTGGACTCATTACATTGGTCGTCTTCTTGTGAAAGTCGTTTTTCAGTTCCTCCACAATATGATCAAAGGTATCGATCGACATTCTAGTGTAGTTTTTAAACAACTCAGGGTACTCTCTCAATTGTTTAAATAAGTGGTGAAATTCTCCATACTCGTATCGTTCTTTAAATATTTCATTTATTGGTCCTCTGCTATCAACATTACACCTCCTTTTCAGATAAGCATATGTTAAAGTAGAGCTATCAAGCAAAAACAACTTTTTCTTTTTAGCCGCAGTTAGCATGGTTGTATATGGATACTACACTGCTCAGTACAGATTGACAGTGCCGAATGCGGGGTGACGGCGCGGCCGCGCCCATGGCGCGTCGCTCTGTCGCGCCGCTCAGTGTGGACACACATTTTGCCGCCGACAGCAGCGACCGTCGGTCGCGTCGGTCGCGTCGCACTTGCCGTCCAGCTAGGACGGGGCTTAAGGGTTTTACAGGTACGCCACTTCGTGTTTGGGCCGACGATATGTAAAATGTCATGTAAAAAAAACACAAGTAGATTAAGGTAGATTACGGAACTGAATGATAGAAAAAAGTTTACCTAGAATGTATCCATAGCTTAACATCCAACAGAGACTATTTATTTGTTGTCAAAGATATAAGGTAAATATTGTTACCAACAACTGTTAAACTGTTCAATTAAATTACAATCTTCCTTTTATGCCTTTCGATGTTAACAAATAACCGTTGTTAACAGCTGTTTAGTGTAACTAACTGAACTTTGTTTGATAAAATCTATGAGAACCCCGAACCCAGAAGACCAGTGGGGCACTGCCCGTTTGTAGAACTTTTAGGAAAAATTTCTTAGCCTTTAGCTTAGTATAACTGTACTTATCCCCACATCTCTGTGTGCAATAGACAACAACAGTTAAATGTGTATGTTTAAACCAAACAAACAAGTTTTGACAACACGTTACTTACAAACTAAATAGTTGACTACGATGTAATAACTTAGCTGAAGTAATTCATGTATGATAGTAAACTCCGGTCACTCACTGCCAATATTGATTCTAATTTGTAACTAAGTAATTCTGAGAATCGAGAATAAATTCGCTGCGGTATTACAAATGATGCTAATATTGCATCATAAAAAGTATCACTTAAAAGTCTCATGTTTTTCATACAAACTGGAATATATGTGAATTTGCAAGAAATTATTATCCATATTAAAAATTCCAGATCGTTGTTCTAAACTGTAGTTAAAACCCGAAACATTCTTATCCATCTACATCTGACTATGTGAAGCTGTATGAAAGTTCAAAGATTTTAAACCCTTCTTAAGTCAAAGTAAAAAGTCAACGTCAGCAGTCGGATTGTTGTCAAGTTGGTAGTTCCGGGCTGGCCAAACTCGAGGCCTAAGTAACATTTACATGACTATAAAATCTATTGTCTACTTCAAGTGACGTCAAAACAACACACATTGTTGTCCAAACATTCCGAGAAACTTCAAGGTACTCATAACACATCAGGGAAACCCAGTGAAATTGCATGAACAGTTAAGGGTTTTCAAGATTATATTTTTAATAAAAATAATAAAATCCATAATTTCACCTTTGAAATATTGTTTGGTAATTAATCTTTACATAGGAATAATTAAGTAAGTTTTAGTTGAAAAATTCAAGATTCCATTCAAACAATGCGGGTTAGTAACTCATTCATTTATACTTCATAGTCTGTGAATTAAATTCTCTTCAAGCTTACGTTCAGTAGTTGTAGTTCGTTTGAAAAAATATTTGGGAGAAAACCCAATATTACCCTATTAAAACATGTTCTAGTGAGATAAAAATACTTATGTATTATTTTTGAATACAGGGAATTTAAAAAATGTGAAATCTTTTTTATTCCGATGATGTTTCAACAAGTGCTATTCGTTGGAGAAAATAAAACTTATTACCTAAAATGTTTATCCTTTTGTCACAGTATTCATCAATAAACTAATTAAATTGATTTGATGATTGCCCAGTCTTTATAGCATAAGCCAAGCTGACCTTTCATGTTTTTCCCTAAGTGTTACGCTTTGTGAAAGGATGATACATCTTAAAAACCCATGTACTATTTATTTTATAAGCCAATTGTCAAACTCAAGGAAGAAAAAGTACTTTTCGATTTATTTTAGACTTTATGAGACAAACTAACATTAGCACACACTATTATAGGCCTATGCCTTTTAATAACTTAAGCTGCCTTTAGTGGTTGGCTGAAGAAGAAATACGACACATACCAAGATATGTATTGTTGAATTTACGCTTTGTACCTACTCAAAATCTGAAGAATACTATTTATGCTTGATACAATAGAATTTCATATTCTGTGCTCTCTGGTCTACTCCTACATAACTTAACCTACGATGTATTTATTTCCATTACACGCATCTGTACATTTGAGAGAAATTTTGTGTTTTGTTTGGTTGGAAGAAAATTATAGTTTACATATAGTTCGGCATACTTTGTCTTAACAGATTTTTAAATTAAGTAAAATATTAACATAAATTAGGAGGAAAACTCGCCAGCTTCTTGAAGTATGTTCGAGGCCAATATATATTTTTTCTCTAGTGTAATACAGTAACACTACACTATTTACAACGTTACGGTGCAAACTGAGAAGGTAGCGGTGGGTGACGAATGAGAGTTATAAAGTAATATTTACGCCATTTTTTTAACTGGTGATACCACACAAAACTTAAAAACTTAAAAAAATTAACGCTCATTTCCACGAACACGTTTTTGGAACTTCTTCTTTTTGTCCCAACATTTCCATTATTATGTTTTGCTGGTAACCACATTTAATTGGCCTGCAATGTGTCGGTCTGGGTAGTTCAAGGTCAGGATGGGGCAGGTCCTGTATAAGAAGGACCTCTGTAGGACAATGGTCAGTGTTTCACATCCTTACACGTCATGACTCACCTGCTCATGGTAAGCTACTATTCCCCAAAAATGAAATAAATATTTATTAAATATGTAAAGTATATGTTATTTGTAATAATATTTTACTCATACTAGTAAATAACGGTACTATACACAATGTTTTTCTATTCGGTATCTAACTTAAGCAGGACGGTAATTAATTGATGTTTTAGTTCTTTGTTACGTTTTCATAGTGCAGTATCGTTACATTTGATAGTTCGTACACATGGTTTTTATTTTATTACCTTATCACAGAATTTATTTTATTTGTTATCGCTCAAGAATTATTTATTTTGCTGTTGTCTTTCAAGTTTTATTATGTTTAATCTTTTTTCATCTTTATCACGATGTGAAAAATTGTTCAATCCTAGGTTTGGTGTAAATCAATATATGGGTTGATGTACTACTGGTTGTGTAATTAATTGTATTGGTGTTTGCCGTATGTATAAAATTAATTAATAAATTGAACGTAACGTCACAGAAAACTGTCTGAGGATTCATAACATTAAAATAAAAGTAAAATATATCTGTCTCTAAATACAAATGTGGAACAAATAGATGTTAAGAATATGTAAATGTTTTATTCAGTAAAATTTACTACATGTGTAAATTGTTCATTGTTTTAATGTATTTACCAAATACTATTCATGCAGTTAATGTTCATATTGATTATGCAATACGGTCCACTACCAAATAATTTATTGATTCCATTTGATTTAAAACATAACATCGTCAAACAAAGACATTAAATTTACAGACATCTCAGTTGTCAAAAAATATATCAAATACGATAAAATCCATTTGGGAGGGATTACAAAGGAATAAATAAACATAAAAATTTAAAGGATAAAGCCTCATTGGACAAACAAAAACATAATTTAAGGCATAGCCTGTGAATAATTAGTTTATATGCACAACTTGAATTTACATTACCTAATTGAGAGAGTGATTACACACAGATTGACAAATTGAGCACAGTAATGACAGATTTACTTGGAATAAATTCCTTTTTGTTATTCAATTACACAAGTTAACACCAAGCACAGTTCTATGCCTCTCGTGTAACTAAATCAAAGTTTCCGGATGTTAACAAACGTTTTTGGGATAAACACAGCTTCGCAGTTCAATGTTGTTTTATCCTAAGTAAATAATGAGAAAGCAGAGATGTTGGCTTATTGTTTGCGTTTGGTTAATTGTAGGCCAACGAATTACAGGCTGATTATAGCAATTGTTTGGATAGCCTTAACAAATCTAAAGAAGTGAAAATTAAAAAAGTCTGTAGAGGCTAATTTTGCAACCAAAGTGGTGCCAAACAAAACTTTAGAATCTTCTGTTTCAATTGATTTTCACCCCGAGATGATAGGTTATATAGTTTTTCATTTATAGAGTTTCAAAAGTGTAACAATAGTTTAGAATCACCCTGTAACATATTTTAAAAGAATTTTAAAATTTTACTCCATAAGATGGAGCAGTGTATTACCTAAATGAATAAATAAATGATACATATCAAGTCACTAAAATAAGGAATTCACATTCAGAAACTATTTTATTAATCAAATTCAACTTATAGTGGTTTTAAAATTTTATAATATAACGGCTCTTAGGTTTCTAACAATACTTTTATCCAAACCTCGTAATGATAATGAATTAATCCATAAAATGCTTGACTTTGTTTCAGTTATAAGTTAGTTTTACCACAGCCACCTCTTTACTCATGATTATTCAAAGATAGAACGTAGCACAAACCAAGAAGTTTGTTGTGTTGTGTTCTTTATGCTTTGGAACTATTTAAATTCATGTGAATTGCATCTGGTTATATATTATTTGAAGTAGCTTCGAGTTATTTATTTAGGTTAGATAGTTGCAGACTAAGTTGGTTAAGAACTTTAATTATATTTATCTACTACAAAAAAGTTTACGCATCGTCTGCTCTTACGGTCAGTTTAGTTGCGTGTAGTTATATATCGATGGTTGCTGGTTCACCCAAAACAATTGAAAACCTATGCGCAGTCAGGTGAGAATTTCTATCGCAAATTGTTTGTTTTTAAGCTCTACACGATGGCTGTTATGAAAAATCGATACATCGACATTTGGGGAAACATTTTGGAAACTAATTTTTTCACCCCGAAGCCCCATAACACCCTGTTCCCATGACCCGGTATTCCTGGTTCACAAACTAATTCAAGGTAATGCTACCCTACACTTTCGTGCGAAATTGGATTAAAATTGGTCCAAAATTATTTGAGTTACTCTGTTCTCAGACATAGATATTAATTTGAACGAATGACTAGTGCTTTGGCCACTGGGGAAAATAAAAAGTAGATTGTCCCGGGTCATTTTGCGCCGCCTACTCTGATAGCTCTGCTTCCCTATAACGAGATTCGAAAAATAAGGCATCATTCTACGCTTGTTTGGTTTTAGTTAATTAACTTTTTCTATAGTAAGTGTTTTGATTAGCCTAAACTACGTTTCGGTAAGTAAGGAAACCCCTCTTGTTTTCAAGTGACTAACTGTTAAGTCACATTTACCTAATTACATATCTAATTCAACCCATCCAATATTTTGTTTTATCTCAATAATTCTTTGACTCATTACATAACCTAAATAAAAACAATGTACAAAAAATAAACAAAACTTTAAACAGTCATGATACATATAGAAGTAGATTTCTCGTTTTTAAGCCATAGGTTTATGTTTGATAATTTAGAAAACTTTTACAATAGTTTATTTTGGGGTATCAACAAAAATTTCTTTTAACATTTCCAGTTCCAGGTCAAGATCATTCTACTGGTAGCGCTTGCAGGATCTTCCCTTCAGCAGGCTACCAGGGCCCCTTTAGTACCTCAGTGGTCAACCAAGGGGTATCCAGGGTTTCCAGGATACCAGGGTACAGGCCAGGGGTTCCGCCAGGGGTACAGGGGGGTTCAAGGGTACCCGAGTGATGGCAGGTATGGGTTCGAGATTGTGGACGCCCCTGATAGATACGGATATGTATCCAACTATCCTGGAGGAAGGACTAGCTTCTTCCTGCTAGGACCTAACAGAGGACCTGGTAAGTGCTTTTTAGTATGAGATTCTCGGTAGGTTGGCTTTTATCCTATTAATGCACTCAAATTAGTAGACCTATTGGGTACAGATAGTGTCATAGTAAATGGTACAATTGAGTCAGCTAATCCATCTAACTTACCTTGGGTGTAAAAAATGAAGCATCCGTGAAAAAAAAAAACAAACACTAAAGATGGTTAATGGTACCTAAAATGCTAAAACAATAATGTTTAAAAATAATAACTACTTCCAGACAACAAATATTTTTTAAACATTTATTTATGTTTCAGTGGTTAAATTTTTCCCACAAGTTTGAACAAAACATTTACTGTAACAAATTTAGTCAAAATTGAACAAGGTAATTTTCTAGGCTTCGCTCATCAGTATAAAGTCATATAATGGGTAGTCTCCATCGTACTGTTCCTTTGCCAAAATTGAAAGCCAGTGTTCCATGAACGTTGTTTAGATACTTTAGAAAATTTAAAGTGATTTTTAAATTAAGGTCGGGATAAACTGTCAAATTCAATCTCCTAACAAAGGAATTATTGTATTGTAGATCAAAACTGCTCTAGCTAGTTCTTAGAGTAGACAAACACAAAGATCTATTGATCAAAGAGAAACATTACATCTATTGGCTTTTAAATGTACTCATAACTTCGGGAAAGATTTAAATTGACCTGGTAGTTCCAATTTAGTTTTTTCTAGTCAAACTCAAAGACATTGAATTAAAAATCAAATGTTTTTGTAAACTGGCAGTATACTCCTAATGATATATGAACCATATTGCAGGACAACAGAGCTACAGGGGCTCGACCATGGCAGACAGAGGAGGTCCTCAGATGTCTTCCTACAGACCCACCAATCTTGGCTCTGGGGGTTGGCGACAGCCCGGGAGTTGGTAGACACTGCCCTGCCTTATGAATCCTATCTTCTGTTTCCACTTTTACATCAATAAAAACTCTTTTTTTTATTTTTCGTATACTCTATTTACCAAGTTGTTACATTAAGTATATATCTGTAGCAAAAATATTAGGGAGTATTATTTCTGAGGCTTAGTATCTATCCTTTGCCACACAGTTTAATGTTTTAAATTTGATTTAAAATGCCTGCTATTAGTTTTGGTAACGCTATTTTACTAGGCATACATACATAATAGATTAAATGCACGCCCTATGGTGTGTTTTTATAAAAAGATAAACTCTTTTTTTCCTGTTAATAAATCCAAGCAATAAATTGATGACAACACCCAAAGAGTGGCATGTTGATTAATTATCATAAAAATAAAAGGGAGTATGTTTTATCTATGATTTAACGGTGGAATATAATTTAACCAAAGATAACCTAGAAATTATGAAATGTCACGTTATTGCTGATCTGTGACTATAGTGCTGGATCAACGAGTTGTAAATTGGACTTCCGGATTGCGTATCATTCCAGCATTTCCGACATCCTAGTAGCAATGTGATTTCAAAAAGTTCACCATCTTAAGTTTTAGAATAGGTAGTTTTTTTATTTTTTTTTAAAAAGAAATTTTACGATTTTAAAATATTTATGTTTAGAAACTTGCATATTATAAGAATATGAACGGCTTTTTCATGTTGAAACGCCCTGTATAATCAACATAACCTATTAAAACAATTGGAAACATGATTTGCAGTTTTCACTTTGCTTGAGGACTACCTCACTTACTTATTAAATTACATGTGTACTTAATTGGTGTTTCTGGAGTATATTTTGGAGTATTTACTCGTTCCAATCTAGATCTTTCCATGGAGACCACTGTAGCACATATTTTCCTACAATAAAAACTACTAAATCCCATACGTATTTAATTCAACAGTAAAGTTAACAATCCCATTAGATCGATTTGTAATCGTTTAATCATTTCTGTCGTTATTACGATTGTAATTCGGCCTTGCGTTTCGCTTAAAAAACTATCAGCTGGCGGAAATAATAATAGGTCTACGTCGGGATAGTGAAACCACAGAAAACAATGATCAGAAGTCTGACCTTGATGAGAACAATGTCCCGAGATAGACAAACGGTTCTGTAACGTGGAAATTTGCATTCAGGAAACATAAATCTTAAGTGAGATCAGGAAAACATTGGAATTAAGAGGAAGTAGTAAAATGTTTAACAACCATTGTAATTGGTTCCTTAGCTAATTTCTAACAAATGTTTTAGTTAGTTGGTAGTAAAGTATACTTTATTAAACGTTGTTTTGATATCCCATTTATAATTTAAACCGTTGACACGTTCGCCACATTAATGAAATTAATCTATGACCATGCGAATAACTACATTAACTCAGTTTATTAAGTTATCATGTGTAATATTAAGTGTAATCAAACTAACAGTGTAGTAATAAATTAATTTTGCATTAAAAGTTTAAAAAATATTTTGAATGGTTATAATAAATAGTTGAACAATTGTTTAAAACATATATTGTCGAGTTTAAAAACAATATTACAATGGTAGTTTTACAATGGTAGTTTTACATGGTAAAACTGTAAAAACTGTCATAATACATTAAAAAAAATCAAAAGGAATGGAAATAAAAATGCAAACTTAAAATAATAAACATTTATTTAGCCAGTTTAGTATCCGCCATGACCATATCCTCCATAACCTCCATAGCCTCCATATCCACCTCCATATCCACCCCCATATCCACCCCCATAGCCGACACCATAACCGACAGCTCCTCCATACCCTACAGCGCCATGGTCGTCACCAAACCCTCCATAACCATGGGGATGGGCGTACCCGTGCCAAGGGGCGTGGTAGGCATGGTGGATGTCGTAGCCAAACTTGTAGCCGAGGTGGTTAGCTGAAAAACACAAATGTGTCAGATTTAGTAAAGTACTTGCATTCTTAAAACCCATTAAAATCTATGGTTTATTTTTATACCCCATTTTAAATTTGCAGGACAAAAGTTTTAGTTTGGAACATTTTTTGTATACATTACTTTAGGCTAGGCCTAAAGTGTTACGTCATCATCACATAGATAAAATCCATAGATGATTGGTGAATTTTGTACTTGGTATGTGTGGGACTGTAGTTTGTCAAAACTCGATTACTTTACGTACTATAGTAGTTAAAATGTTAGCTTACAAAGTTGTGTATGACTATGGCCTACGGCTGAGACCATGCCTACGGCGCAAGCCACGACTGCAATCAGAACCTGCAAACAAAGTCATTGTTTAATCGTAAAAATAATCATATTAATTGTTTTTTATGTCCTACATTCACATTCTAAGACGTTTAACTCAAGAACAGGACCATTTTACACTTTTAGACGAGAATGTCTAGAAGGTTTTGGTAGTATAATCTAAAAATTTATAAATAAATAAATTTATTTACAAATTTATAAATATTTGTATATATATATATATCTAAAAAGTTATTAGTGATGGGCAGGATTTGAACCTGGGGTATCGAGGACCGACGTCCTGCGCTGCACCACCAGACCAGATCGCTCTCATTATTATAGTATGAATACAAAGCTATGTCATAGACTCCGGCATACATTAGTATACTCTTTAGTGGTTACATAATTTTTTCTTCATTTGTAAGCTGTAAACTAATAGATATCCTCAGTGAGTATCAAATAATTTTAGGAAACCAAGTTGACTTAATTTGTTACTCTGCGAAACAAGTAAATTCAGCTTCTTAAAACAAGAGTATATCATAAAAGAGTTTAGTGGAAAATGCAATGATATTTTGATAAGACAATCACTACAAACAAATGGCAGTTTATTTAGTAGAAAGAGATTTAATATGAATAGTAATCAATAGTTGAGTTTCCATTTAGGTTTAGTAAAAACCAAATTATTCTTAAATAGTGGGAGTATTTCACAGAAAAGAATTAAAAGTTGAGACGTAAGGTAAGTAACAATATGCTATACAGTGTGTTAAATCTAAGGCAGTCGAAAAAATAGTTTTGCGACAAGTTGGTTTGGTTTAGTATTAAATCGATTATCCTGACTGTTATTAATTAGGCAAAGTACACAGAAAACTAATAACTAGAGAGCCATTTTGTTTACTCAACAGATGTATGATATTGCATGTTATATGCTGTTGTGTAATGGTTTCAACTATATTGGAAAAAATAATACATATATTTTTATGTTTTACATTGAAACAGTATGTCTAGTGTTGCTGTATTTTAAATACAATAACACAAATTACATAAAAATTGAATTACATATTTATACGTAACATATTTATTACATATCCTTATTTTGTTACAATGAAGACGCATGTTTTTTTTTTAAGAATGATCTCTTAACAATTTGAAATCTTACAAATATTTAGTATAGGCTATTTGTGTAGAGTTTTCGCCTTAAATAAAAATTATTAATGGTTGCAGGCAGTATAAAATATGAAATTATTTCAAGTAAATATTTACAGCCTTACGTTTGGTTGGAGTGTAAGTCGAAATGAAATCATAAATGTCAGTATGAAGAGTTGAAATAACAATCAGAGATTATTGTATTATCTACGAAGTGACATTTGAAACCAGAATTTCTCCAAACGGACACGTGGAACAAATTGAAATGTCAGAAAGAGAAGACGAAATGAAGAGTCTCATCTTATCAAGGGATATTATTCTTTTGTTAGTCAATTTGTTTCTATTTTGCAAGCGTATTTGTTTTACTTAAGTTTTTACAGCTTCGAAATTTCAAAGAATAAGTCTTCTCAATTTAATAATGTTTTTACATAAAATTTAATATTCATGTACAGTTTAGGGTTTTGTACAGTTACACAAAAGTCATTAATATCATATAAACTTACTTTACTTACTAACATAAGTAGACTTTTGATCTCATTGTACATTTTAAAGCTCGGGATTCGTGTTTAGTTCAAGTCCGGCGTCTCTGATAGATAGCGTCGACGAATTTTCGATTCTATTATTTTAGGGTTAATTTCATCATTTGTGCTTTATTGTTTGGTTATATAACTAGGGTTTAAGTTGGTTAGATAGTTTTATTTGGTTAAACGAGTATTTAATTGACTGAAATAACAAGAAACAAATTGTAAACTAAACACGACCTCTTCAGTGCACCGTATAGAACTAACAATAAAATTGGCTTCAGCTGTTCCATAAGGATGAGAAATCTACTAAGGGTGTATTTTATCTATGTTAATATTTAACCGATTAAGTAATACTTGGCTAAAGTGTCCTGGTGAAAAAAAAATGTTATGATTGTTTGATAATAAGATATAATGCTATGATTCTTCTGCTTTAGCTTGCGTTACTATTTAATAACATACGTGGGAACCCTTTATGTCCAATATACATTTGGTTAACAATAACATATTTTTTCGCCACAAGACTATAAGGTTATAACTTAAAGTTATACCCAATGTAGCTCATCATCTTGGGAAAATGACCAATCAATCAAAAAAGAAATTCTTACTCTTCTTATTATCTAGTATGTTTTCAATCCAGAGGAAAATATTGATGTGTGAACAACAACTTACCTTGAACATAGTGATCGTGAGTGTCCAATGACAACAAACTGTGTCCACTGTCACTTATGCCCGGGCTTTATAGTAACTAGCCATGTACAATCTCAATGTCATAATGAGGCCCATTTTACGTCTCAATGACTACAATGCCTTTCGACACATTGCGAAGGACTCCAAATAAACCGATTGTGCAATTCGACACATTAGCTTCCAATATTGTGCTGGGGAAATGTCCTCTATGGACATGTGTGTTTTGCAATATGTCAAATTAGAGTAATTAAATTTTTTTTGATAGTACTAAGTAATTCCCCCCAAAAAAATGAGGAAATTGTTCGAGCCATTCTTGAGGTAATTTTGCGAGTAAAATGCACTTGTATATGTTATATTGTATATGCATGTGTACGATTTTACATGAGGTTTACCTTATGTTTGAAACTTTACACATGGTTGATCGGGTTCAAATTCCGCCAATCGCCGATGAGTTTGAACTATGTGATCAGTTCGTAACTATCAGTAAGTTCGTAATCAGATGGTTTAGCATTTACTATACGCTCAAGGTCTCTATGTTAAAATATTTCTCTTGAGCTAGGAGTTTTCTCTCTACGTGGTCTTTCCAATATAAAAGTAATACAATGATTTAAACATATACAACCAAACTGAAGGTATTGCAAAAGCAACATTTTAACTGTCAATGTTTCACTAAACACTATCAAAATAAAATGTCCTTCCTATAAAATAAATGAAGTAGCTTTCAAGATGATTGGTTTAATGAAAATAATATGCAATTAGTATAAAAGATAAGTAATTGAACTTGAAACTCAAAATCCGACTTCACCAAGGGAAACTAATTTTCAGAATTTTCTTCTCAGATAATTGGGTAGAATATTAAGGTCAACTCTGCTCATTAAGCTGTCATAAGTCAACTAGTTTCATTAGTATACTCATTATAGATCATTAATTATACTCCTAAGTAAGTTAAATTATGTTAAATTGGGGCAGGTTATTGTCCAATAATTAGTTTCTTGAAATATGGTGTGAGACGGGCTAGTTCGATTCCCTGCATATGAGTAAACGAATTTAACTTATTTAAAAAAAAAAGTGTTTAGGGTTCCTTATTTAAAAAGTCCTCTGCCATCGAAAAGAACAACATATAAAAATAATGACATGGCATCCTAGTTCCTTTTAAAAACTAATTAAAAAAATAAATAAATGAAAAACAAACAATAAATAGTTACTAATCAGTAACATAAATACGTATGAAAATAAAAATTAAAAAAAGTCACCCTTTCAATATTTCTATATATTAGATGGAATAGCAATATTCTTCGGAAAGACCGGGAGACTAAGGAATAAGTCTTATCCTTTCATCTCGATAAGTGGATTATTATCTTCTTAAAAGAGTAGATCAAGTTAAATGCAATATATTTTTCCTACAGTCACCCGGCAAAGTGGGCTTCCTTGCACAGATTAAAGTGCAGAAAGCCATACTTTGTGAACAGTTTTACTTTGGCGAATGATTTTTAATGGGGATTTTCCCATAAAACCCATAAAAAACAGGAAAAATCGAATGGCCCGAACGATTTTGATAAAAATTTAGTACGTTGTATCCCTTTAAATTCTGAACAAACTGGTACAAATTCTATTTCTGTAAAAATTACGGTTCAAAAGTTATATTAAATTATGTTATTTTCCCATAAAACCCCATTAAATAACAAAAAATTGGATTTTTGAAAAAAATCCGGGTTTGATTTAACATAGTTATGGTCCTTACAATTTGAAAAATTTTTTTCATTTTTTAGAAATTTTTATTTTTAATGGGGATTTCCCCGATAAAACCCTATAAAATAACGGAAAATTCGGATTTTTCCAAAAATGGCCTGAACGATTTTGATAAAAATCGAAAATGTTATAGTCGTTTAAATTCTGAACAAAACTGTACAAATCCCATTTCCGTATATTTACTCTCACCGCTTACACATGATAAAGGTTGTTGACAAACTTATGGGAGAAAGTATGTGTCAGAATGCTGATACCGTTAATTTGCATTTATGAAAGCAGCTAATAGATGTATTACCTATAGTAGCATAGACCTACCTACCTATGGTAGTATAGACCATACCTTAAATTTAAAGAAGCAAATGTTATCAAACTGTGTCCTTCCCCATTGCAATCATAAAGCTTAAGCATAACTGCAATAAACATGTCAACCCCGTACGAAGGACGGGTACTCTTCTAGTATTTAACAATTTATTTTTCTGTTTTGTAAAGTGAAGTGGTTAAACATTATAGCTAGGTAGATGTGTAATACTATAGTATACCGTAAATTTAACAAATTTGATCAAACTGTGTCTTCCCCCATTGCTTACGCAAAGCTTGAGTTTAACTACTGCAATAACCATTTTATACTTATATGCCAATCCAGACTCTGCTAGTACTGATTTATGTGCGTATTGTGTACAGTAAGGTTTAATACTGAGTTTATCAGTAGGTTTCAAAAATGAGAGTAGTATTATCAGGGGTAAATAGTGATCTCTAAATCGTTAGTTTCATAATGGGCTGCGTATAAAAGTGACTTTGATTATGAACTACAAATCAGAATGATGTTTTCATAGCTACCTTTATATATGTAGGTTTAATAGCGTTGTTCTTAATTAACTCTCACGTAAACCTTACGATTTTCAAATTCAAGCGTATTTGGTTATGCAGTTAAAAATAAGCAAGCACTGGACTTTTGATGCCTGTGTGAAAAGAATTTGTCGCTCTTTCATTTTTAAACGCACTGTATGCAAGCAGACGCATGGCTTGAATTTTAAAGCAAAACATTTTGACAAAATATTAAATATGAGTAAACAAGTCAATTTTTTATCTTACATTGTCGTGTATATCTCGTACAAATATATAGTTTTACCCTTGAGCTATTTCAATGCTGGAAGGAGGGGGGGGGTGACTTTCGTCCAATCAAGGGAGTTGAAAACATCACTTGAGTTAATCAATGTCAATCAATATTGAAACGTTAAAAGCAGTCTATTATGCATTGATTCATTCACATATTGCCTATGGCGTCTGTGTCTATGGATCTACCACAAAAAAAAAAAAAAAAAAAAAAAAAAAAACATGGACAGAGTTTTACTCCAGCAAAAAAGGGCATTGAAGATAATGTTGAATTTAAGATCAACAGCCTCAGTGAGGCAATTATTTTGTTTGCATAAAATATTCACAGTCTAGTCTTTTCATTTATGAGTCAATTAAATTTGTTTTGATGAATGATAAAATTGTAATAGGTAACCCTATTACAAAAAAATATTCAATAAATATTATAATTAAATATAATATTATAATTATAGTAAAATATTCATAAATATAACACAAGATCACACCGATTGGTAGAGCAGCACAATTTGGAATTTTATAAGAAAAAAACCTAGTTATTTAGGGAACAATTTTTTACATTACCTTCCAGAAACTTTAAAATTGGAGAAGAATCCAAATAAATGTTTAAAATCATTAAAAAGATTTTTAATTGAATCATCATTTTACTCCATTCAAGAATTATTTTTAAACAAAAAACTTAAGTATCTCCATTGATTGTTCTATGTTTGTTTTCTGTTACTTTAATTTGCATTTGATTGATGTATTATTCAGCTGGACTTATTATTATATAAAGAAAGGAAAATCAATTTGAAGGCCATTAATTAATTGTTACATATATTCTGTTTTACTACTGTAAAATCACTAGTTTAGTAATCTAGATAAGAAAACTTATGTTGACACAATTTCATGTACCAATATGTACATTTTATGAAATAAAGAAGTTGATTGATTGATTGATTGAACGAGAACAAATGGAGTGAGAAATGCATTGTGTTGAACATCGTGGTGGGCGTGGCTACGTCAAAAGACCAGAACTGATGAGGAATATTCCATAGATACGATTTAAACCACAGACAAAGAATCAGATCTGTGTAATCAGTCGACCTTTATTTACGATTATTTTTAATAGAGTACAAATAGAAATAAAATAAAGCGAAGGGCCCGTCTACAAATTTTGCATTTTTACAGGGTTCAGAACTCATTATCGGGGCAATAATGCAGTATCAATTTGGCCTTTACCATTAAAAGATTACTGCAAAACTGATAACATTCAAGATAATACCCCCGACACAGCAAACCTGCAGACTAAGCGAATTTCCATCTACCTCGCTGGAATTCCACTAAATTACTGCCTTGAAATTGTCATATTTATCTCCTATTTAAATATCATTAATTTTAATGAGTAAGTAGGTTTGCTGCTACAGGGAGATAATAAGGTGTGTTTATATTTAAATACCGATAGCTTAGTATGAAGTAAACAAATTTTCCAAATTTAATTAAAATATGTCCATAGACAAGCAAGGTTCAACAGTTTATTAGCGAATTTCCCATGTATAGGGAATAAGCTATTACCGTAGTACTCATGGTAAGACCTGGACGCGGGACCGATTTTTTTTTTCGTTTTGAGGTCCCTAGAGGCCAAAAACACCATCCGGTCAAATTCACATATATATATATATATATATATATATATATATAAATATATATATATATATATGTGTCCGTCAGCACGATAACTCGAGCAAAAATGATCCGATTTTGATGAAATTTGGTGCAAACGTGTAAACGTACGTTTATTCGAACGAGTTCGCGATACAGCATGATCGGACCATGGGAACGGGGGTTTCCGGGGGGTTTTATGGGGTAAAAATAGGTTTTTCTCATTTTTTACCCAAAAAACATAAAATTTAGCAATTTCTTTCCAAACAATTTTGTAGAGCTTAAAAAACAAATAATTTAGTATATTGAAGCGTTATTATGCGCCTAATGGTTACGGAGAAAATTCAAAAAAATTGTAATTTTAAAATTCCCATGTTATTCTTATGGAGAATAAGTAAACCGTTGTAGTTTTCTTGTTTGTGAACATATTTTGATCAAATTTGGAAAATGTTTTCATTTCTTACTAACTATTCACAGTTTACAAAAAAAAAAAAAAAAAACAGTTTTACCCTCCCTGATGCA